AGCAGACGGCTGTGATGTGGCTGAACCTGAGGGTTGCTGTGCTGCTGGGTAAACAGAAAAGGTTGTCCGGATCAGTGTACAGGCGCCATCACTGGGTAGCAACATGCCTATCACTAACAGCACAGAAGCCAGAATGAATCATCTTTGATTGGTGAAAGAAAAAGGGTGCAGAAAAGGTTTAAAAACAACTATATTTTAGCTGTTTAATATAGGGACTGTATATTGTGCCACTGGTGGACAAAATCAGTGAGAGACTGGCTTGCCTCTCTGTGTCTCTTCTTTCTCTTCTCCTTTGCTTTCACCCAAAACAGGACACACATCGACTTATTCAGCAGCTGACCCCACCCTTATTACATTTTTATATTCTCTCCTCAGTCCCCTCTTAATTTTCCTTCCTCGTCTTCATTCCCTCTGCTTAGAATGAAAAGGCTGGGTGAGGAACAGGGTAATTAAAATGGAGAAGCTGTGCAGTGAAATGAAGCCAGTACAAAGGCACACCACACCCCTAACAGCTTTAAAAAGAGATGAAAAAGGAAATGCAATGAAAGTGACTGATTGTGTTGTCGTGTTGCAAAAATATGTAAACAATATATTGTTTCAGAAGCTATTTTCATCAAATGTTTCTTATGTAAATCCTGGATATAGCCTTGATAACTTACCTACCTCTCTGTCTCACTCACTTGCTATACTTATGAGGATATCCACTGACATATGACACATGACTTCTTAGCCCCTTAACCCAAACCTTTACCCTAACCTCAGCCTAATTCTAACCATTCATCCATTCCATCCTATAATTCTAGCCTTAATACAAAAATCAAATCAAGTCTTAACTTTACAAAACCTTTTCAAAGTTATGAGGAGCAGCGAAAATGTCCTAACAACAAATCTCCAGAGTGTAATACAGATATGAACACACACACACACACACAAACCAAAGCAGCAGTACTGAGTTTTTATTGATGTGTGTAGCTGCAGGATAACAAACAACAGACTGTAGCAGCACACAAAGAGATTCAGAAATCAGATCCCAGTAACTGTACTATGGTTAATGCAGAGAAAGAGTGCAGATGGAGGAGTCACCTTGGCAGAGAAGAGGGGAAGGAGGGAGGCAAGGGACACTGGGGCAATGCCAATTTGTTTTGTAGATACTGAGAGACACATGATAAACAAACTGTACTGTAGACTGAAGTAAAGTGTGGAATTCATTGTTAATATAATAAATAATAAGTGCAGTTCCTGAGAAATATCGTTATAGGTGTCAGCTGTCTGTTTGTATTTCTGTCTGTTTATGCTGCCTGCCTATACATTTTTACATTAAGCTCCAGATTATTTTTTCAAATAGTCCTTTTACAAAATGGTTCTGAAAACTGAGTAAGATTTAAACTGTATCCCTGTGTCTGCGTGGGCTCTCTCCAGGTACTCCAGCTTCCTCCCACAGTCCAAAGACATGCAGCTTAGGTTGATTGGTGACTCTAAAGTGCCCGTAGGAATGAGTGTGAGTGGTTGTTTGTCTACATGAAGCCCTGTGATAGACTGGTGACCTGTCCAGGGTGGACCCCGCCTCTCACCCAGTGTCAGCTGGGATTGGCGACCCTGTTCAGGAATAAGCGGTATAGAAAATGGATGGATGGATTTAAACTGCATTTCCCCACGTTAAACAACAGTGACATCTGTTGGCGCAGCACTGCCACTGTCATAAAGGATAAGTATGTACTGTAGTTGTCTGTACATTTCTTATTATCACCAATTCCTGTGAAAATGTCAAAACTATCGGTGACTTGATTCTACTAACAAGTACTGCCTGATAAGGTTTATTCCTCTGTGGCATAGAGCTTTGTTGTTGTTCAGAAAATGTTAATAGGCAACACCGCTGCACTCTGCGACACATTCCTTCATTACTATGAACATGGGCACTGACTTTTATTTTGATCTCACACACAGCGTCCTGCAACTCTGCAGATCAAAATAGTCCCTAACAAATACATGATGTACTCCTGTTTGAGTCATGTTTGCTAAAAACTACAGTGCACAGTTGTTAACCTTTTAAAAAAAAGCTGCATTTGAGTCTTTTTAACCTACATCTCCAACAGGCTTTTTAAAGCATGTGAAAAATGCTTGAAGTGCTGAGCTGTTGCAACACAGCTTCCAATCACCACAGGCTTTTCACAGCAGATATGTTGACTTGTCATGGCAGGAGAAGAATGTAACTAATAGTATTAACATCAGCTCTGTGTTATTCAAGTGTCCCTCTTGAGCATCATTCATTTTTATGAATGTGCATTTCCTCTTGTGACATGTTAATATAGAGACAAGTGACAAATGAAAGGACAAACCAACATAAAGTGTCTCAGTGAGGTGCTGGGCCACCACATGCCACTAGAACAGCTTCAGTGCATCTTGGTATTGAACAAGTCTCTGAACTCTACTGGAGAGATGATCACAGTTCTTCCAAAAGGTGTTCAGCTGGGTGGAGATCTGGTGACTGTGAAGGCCACAGCATATGATTCACATCATTTTCCTTCTCATCAAACAACTCAGTGACCCTTTGTGCCATTGGATGGGGGCACTGTCATCCTGAAAGAGGCCGCTCCCATCAGGTACTTCCTTTGTCACCTGTCTATATTTCTATGCAGAAGCTAAAGACCAGCTATGAGTCTTTCTATTCTTGATTTGGGACTTTTCAGCCTCTCTTTCTGCAGATCGTTCAACCTCCAAGATATTTTAGGCCGTCATGCACACAACAGTATGTTTGAGATCTGACCACATATGCTCTGTACTGTTCAGGTCAGAGGACAGGGAGAGCTGCTCCAGCAGCGTGTGTTTCTTGAAGTAGGTCATGGTGACTTTTGAGATATATTTGGATCATCACCCTGACAAAACAACCTCTCACTTTTAATATGGCCAAACCTTTGAATAGAACTGTATGTCAGTAGAGAACTAACAACTAATGTTTTTCATGAAGTTGATCCTCTAGTTAGATTTTTCAACCTGAACCACAGTTATCAAGATTTGTGACCAAGGCTGGATTACCAACACAGCAAAGTAATTAACTACCCAGGGGCCCAGTCTGATTTGTTCCATTGTCTGGTCAAAAATTTGTCAGAGATGTGCACCACTTAAGTACAATAATAGCAGGCCCTCTATTTGTCACCTTGGAGGTTTGGTGTAAATTGTTTCCACTATTCTGTTTGCTAAGTAATTAACACAGAAAAAACCTTGGATAGGTTAGTAGCCTATTAGCAATTAGAAGTAGCCTAGTAAGGCTTCAACAGTTACTTTCATCATTATGACAGAGTTATTTCATTTAATAATGAGTTGATTGTTCAGTGAATAAAATGTCAGAAAATACTGAAAATGGTCAGACCCCCCCACCAAATTACATATTCATCTTGTTTTTTCTACTGACCAGTGGTCAAAAACCCAAAGTTATAGACTTTACTTCCATAGAAGAGTACAAAACATGCATGGATTGACCTACCAGCAACTTTTGGGGCATTTTGCAAAAAAAAAAAAAGGACAAATGATGAATGAGTAATCAGTAGAAATTGTTGGCAATTAATTTTTTTGATTAACTAACCTTTTGATGAGCTAATCCTGTATGCCAAAACAACCAGACAAAAGGACAGCTTCTTCCCCCGGGCCATCACTGATGAACACTCAACCCATGACTGTATAAGAGAAAGACAACCCTCAGTGCAATACCTTGTAAATATACCTTTGGCTATATATATTTATCTAGAAAACTCCATCTAAACTGTATGTTTATATATATTTCTATATTTATAAGTACTTTATTGTTTATTTCCCTAGTGCACATTCCATTTCTTTTTTGTTCTCTCAGTATTATCTTGTTTACTTGTCTGCTCGTTGCCTTATGGAGGAACACTGTGCATACACAGTGAGAGCCACTGTACCAGAGTCCTGTGTCCAACACACCAGACCAAAAAAGCTTATTCTTTCACTTTTAGAACAATTTTCGTTTTTTTAATTAAACTGACATGTAGAGTGGGGTTATAGGTTAATCCAGTCATGTCTGTGACCCAAACTATTCGTCTCTTGTTAGCTTTAATGAAGATGGATTAAAAAGCGTTCATGGCACAGAAGTCGGTGTAGCGCCCTGCCAGCAGGGGTCCTCAGTGCACAATGTGTGGAGGAGGTCGGTGAAGAGAATCCCACTGCAGCCGCTGCTAAGCCATCCTCACCGGTTGTTTCGGTCGAATGAATACTTGTTAGCAGTCCGTCAAGACCGATGCTGAGTCTAAAGTAAATAACAACAGATAAGCCGGCGTTAGGCGTTGTTCATGGTTAATTGACCCTTAAAACAAACCGTGCTAGTTGTTCACAGGCTAGGCTAACATCCTCACGAGGATGCGCGCGCGACTTGGCAACAGAAGTAGAGTTGCCGATAACTTCCTTCACGGAAGCTAACCACAAATCTGTACTGTTTTTAAAGTAAAATGTCGGCCTGTTGTGTGTCCGGCTGTAAAAATCGCCACTCATCAACAAGCAAACTCAGATTTTACAGAATACCGTCGGGATACCGGCCGTTTCAGGCGAACCGAAGGCGTTTATGGCATAGCAGCCAAAAATGTGTGCTGGCTAAACCAACAATAAGAAAGCATGACCAAATTTTACATTATTCTGTCATGCACATGTAGTTGTATGTTAGATAATTTATTCATTTATGTGTTACTGCGTAGCCTTGCTCCTTGTCTTTTTAGATGAGGACGTCATTTGACTTCAAGACACAAATGTAATGATTATGTAGAATGTAAACTATTAGTTAATTGGTCAGTCAGTCAGAAAATTGAGTATTTTGATAAACAAATGGTTGTTTCAGTTCATTCTTCAAGCAAAATGTCCTCTGGTTTCAGCTTATCAAATGTATATTTTTTTAAGGTTCACAAATTATGCTCATTTTCATCCATGTGAATGCCAGAAAATTTTCTGACAGTGAATTTTGCATAACCTGTGTCCTTGAAACCGTTGTTACAGAGGTAGAGGAAGGCCCCGCCGCAAAGCCAGAGTGCAGACAGAAGAAAAACCAACTCCATCTAGAGTTGATTCCCCTGTGGACCTCCACTCCTCTGTGTTGATGGAAACAGAAGAAGAAACACAGACACCATCAAAACCATCAGTGCCGACGGTAGCGGCCACTTATTTCTGGATTTATTTTATGCTTTCTTCTGAGATATTTTACTGTTCTGTAAGAAGTCGCTGTATCTTTTAAGCACATTTTTTATTGCTTTCCTTGTACAAAGAAATGGTTTTCCTATTGTACTACATTTGCTTTTGCATTATCATGTGTTTGTTTTCCAGGAGCGAAGAACACGGTCTAAAGGAGCAGAGGTTGAAAATGAAACCAAAACAATCAAGTCACAGACATCACCCAGGCCAAACATGACATTGTCATTTAAAGAATCAGCAATACAAGCGATCCAAGAAGTGAACGGCAGCACCGAGGAACTCAAAGGAAATGCTCGTATCTGTGGCGCTCATTTCATATCAGGTAAGACAAGCAGTCTGCTTTCATTTTGCTGCAGCTACAGTAGCTAGCTGGTTTACCGGAGCTGCTGGAAGATGAAGTGTTACTCTGAAGCAGACTTAAAACGTTTGGTGTGTTTTTATGATTTACAGGACAGGCGTCCATGGATCACGACAGTCTGGACTTTGTACCCTCTGTGTTTACGTGCAGAAAACCAAGTCAGGGCCCCCAGAAAGAAGTGAAACGGTAAGAAATGTAGTAAGTTTCTGTTGTTAGCTAGGTAGCTATAGCTATGGTAATGAGTTAAGATCAGTAGTAGAAGCAGTACTCAGATTTTAAAGTACCACAGAGTACCACAGTACGGACAATCCTATGTTGCAATAAATGTTTTATTAAATTGAAATTCTGACTAGAGTTGAAGTGCAGAAGTAGTAACATTAAAATGTACCAAATTAACAGCATTCGTCATATTGTTGAGTTACAACTTACTATTGATGTATATATGACTTTAATGTTGCAGCTGGTAAAAGTGGGGCTGACTTTAACACCTTTATATTCTGCTGAGGAGTATTTTTTTAAACCTTTGTTACAGAGGTAGAGGAAGGCCCCGCCGCAAAGCCAGAGTGCAGACAGAAGAAAAACCAACTCCATCTAGAGTTGATTCCCCTGTGGACCTCCACTCCTCTGTGTTGATGGAAACAGAAGAAGAAACACAGACACCATCAAAACCATCAGTGCCGACGGTAGCGGCCACTTATTTCTGGATTTATTTTATGCTTTCTTCTGAGATATTTTACTGTTCTGTAAGAAGTCGCTGTATCTTTTGAGCACATTTTTCTGCATTTTTTTTTATTGCCTTAAGAGGTTTTTCCTTGTACAAAGAAATGGTTTTCCTATTGTACTACATTTGCTTTTGCATTATCATGTGTTTGTTTTCCAGGAGCGAAGAACACGGTCTAAAGGAGCAGAGGTTGAAAATGAAACCAAAACAATCAAGTCACAGACATCACCCAGGCCAAACATGACATTGTCATTTAAAGAATCAGCAATACAAGCGATCCAAGAAGTGAACGGCAGCACCGAGGAACTCAAAGGAAATGCTCGTATCTGTGGCGCTCATTTCATATCAGGTAAGACAAGCAGTCTGCTTTCATTTTGCTGCAGCTACAGTAGCTAGCTGGTTTACCGGAGCTGCTGGAAGATGAAGTGTTACTCTGAAGCAGACTTAAAACGTTTGGTGTGTTTTTATGATTTACAGGACAGGCGTCCATGGATCACGACAGTCTGGACTTTGTACCCTCTGTGTTTACGTGCAGAAAACCAAGTCAGGGCCCCCAGAAAGAAGTGAAACGGTAAGAAATGTAGTAAGTTTCTGTTGTTAGCTAGGTAGCTATAGCTATGGTAATGAGTTAAGATCAGTAGTAGAAGCAGTACTCAGATTTTAAAGTACCACTGAGTACCACAGTACGGACAATCCTATGTTGCAATAAATGTTTTATTAAATTGAAATTCTGACTAGAGTTGAAGTGCAGAAGTAGTAACATTAAAATGTACCAAATTAACAGCATTCGTCATATTGTTGAGTTACAACTTACTATTGATGTATATATGACTTTAATGTTGCAGCTGGTAAAAGTGGGGCTGACTTTAACACCTTTATATTCTGCTGAGGAGTATTTTTTTAAACCTTTGTTACAGAGGTAGAGGAAGGCCCCGCCGCAAAGCCAGAGTGCAGACAGAAGAAAAATCAACTCCATCTAGAGTTGATTCCCCTGTGGACCTCCACTCCTCTGTGCTGATGGAAACAGAAGAAGAAGAAACACAGACACCATCAAAACCATCAGTGCCGACGGTAGCGGCCACTTATTTCTGGATTTATTTTATGCTTTCTTCTGAGATATTTTACTGTTCTGTAAGAAGTCGCTGTATCTTTTAAGCACATTTTTTATTGCTTTCCTTGTACAAAGAAATGGTTTTCCTATTGTACTGAATTTGTTTTTGCATTATCATGTGTGTGTTTTCCAGGAGCGAAGAACACGGTCTAAAGGAGCAGAGGTTGAAACTGAAGCCAAAACAATCAAGTCACAGACATCACCCAGGCCAAACAAGACATCACCATCATTTAAAGCATCAGCAGGCTTCCTAAAACAACACAAAATAAGTCCCATCGTGCTCCTGAAGTCTGTAATTGCTGCAACAGGTGGGTATCAGTGTGAGCTGTGTAATCAGAACTTCAGCAGTATGTCACTGCTTGTAAAACACAAACAGCTGCATGAAGAACAAAAGTCCTTCATCTGTGAAATTTGTGGAAAGTACTTCACATCTGAGGCTGATTTCACTGAGCACCAGCGTTCTCACAAAGATAAGCCTTTTCCCTGCAACATTTGTGATCGATCTTTTTCTACGAATCATAATCTCAAGCGTCATAAACTGCTGCATGTCAAAGATGGCAGGAAGTGCCGCCTGTGTGGTGTTTTGTCGACGACATAATCATGTTGCATCCCTGCCACAGCCTGTGTCTGACCAAGAATCCTCTGTTGAGCCACAAAAAGCAGGCAGTGGTCGGATGCCAGAAAGCAGTCTGCTGAAGAAGCCTGAGCTGAGCCAGACTGCTGGCCCTGGTGACGATGCTCAGAGCACCACAATTCAAATACCTTTGCAGATACAGACTGTTTCACCTGTACCACCAGGCCCTGAACCTTTATTCAAGATGCATAACACCCCATCTCTGGTCTTTCCCACGGGAATGTTAAAAGAAATCCCTGTGCCAGTGTTGGTAAAACCTTCCTCTATACCGTGTCCACCTCCACCATTACCCAAGTTCCCATGGGGCCCGGGTACCTCCTCTCAGTTTGAGTCACCCCTGCCCGACTGCCCTGCAACCTTCATTCAGCCCCATCTTCCTCAACATCCAGAACTGCCACCCTCACTAAAGCTCTTTTCACCTCAGTACCTCACCTCAGCATTACTCGAGGTTAAAAGAAATTATGAGTATATTTTAAGCAAACCAGAAAAGGTTAAGAAAGATACTGTGAAGGAGGAAGAGTGCGAGCTGCCGCTGATTTCTCCAGATAAACAAGTCAAAAAGGAAAGAATTGCTTATGACCTGGAGATTATCCTCTAATCTGAGTCTAGAGGGGCAAGATTTTTCACATTTAAAAGCAGGCATTGACTCTGTCCTGTACTTTATTAACCCTTTGTAGCAATATTAACCTAATTGTTAGATTAGCCTATTTGCCTCAGTCCTGATGTATCATGTCACTGTTACACCAACACTTGTGTTTGTCAAACACAATGACCTGATTGGTGGATGCTACAACTGAATCATAAGCTAATGTGGTCTCATTAGGAAGGATATATTGATATGATGTGCTTATTCCACCTGTATGACATGAAATGCTTCATGTTCCTATGAAACATGTTAACTTTGAATGTGCTGCTGCTCGTTAGCAGTTAGTCCCTACCTGGTTCAGCACACTGGTGTATTTTAAAGTGCTGAACTCATGATGCTGCTATTTTTTTTTAATTTAGTGAGAGTTCCATTACTGAGATGCTGCAACTTCTTAATCACTGTCGAGGTGACATTTGTTTTTCTACTGCTGTTTGGTAAACAGTACTGTTCTGTATATAGGATGGAACTGCCTTGAACTGTAAAACTGTACCAGGTGGCATTTGGGCTGCAGGCAATGTTCTGTACTTACAGTTTGTGGAGAAATAATCATTTGAGCCTGTGAGTAAACTCACTGTGTTACAGTAATGATATAAAGATCATTGTCAGGCATCATGTCTGATGATCATACTCACTGGATACCGTTTTCCTATCTACCTCTGCAACCTTGAACTGCATCATTTTATTATTATATATAAATATACATATCTTGTAAATATAGTGTTTCCTGTATCTGGGATATAATTGCATTACATTATGAGTTGGGTTGTGTGTACTAACATCTGGAAGTGGCAGAAAGCATGATGTCATTGCCTAGAGATGAAACCAGCAGTGAGAGATTTTTTTTTTCCCACAACAACCTAACCAAGTAGCTAACCTGCTAAACAGTAGTGACACTAGTTCCCTCTTGTATCTGACATTGACCTCTAAGACTGTGAAGGGAAATAAGTCTCATGTTGCCGTTTACTTACAATACTGTGCACATTTTTGGTTGTAACATTCACAGATTCTGATGGTAGAGATTTAAACACAGTTAACAGATCATCTGGCATGTTCTGTGTAGTTTTTAATGAACTTTTATCATTTTTAGTCACTACAGTGAATGGATGACAATTTTATTACAGTTACAATTTCTAAAATACCGAGTACTGTGGCTATTATCATGTATTGAGGCCTCACAAGACAAGTTTAAGCTGTCCTGTTAAAATGGATGGACTTGCTAAATATGTTGTTGGCTGTGCTTCATCTGCCTAAATGGATTCACTAACATAGATGCGCTGGAGTTAAGGAAACTCCTAACAGAAAACATAGTGCATCAAAACTACACTGTGTCCATATCGGGTCATTTTAAAGTTGAATAAAGGAAAAAGTATGGCTGAAATAAACTGCAGTGTTTCTAATCTGAAATACGGTTTCTGCATGACATTGTATACAGAAGTAAAATTACTGTACCACACTTTATTTGTGGGAGGGTTTTTTTTTTAGTCTGAATTTTAAGATTTTTTTGGTCACAAAGTGTTAAGAGTTGTCATGACGATGGTACCAGAAGGACTGACCCAAAAATGTCAGAATGGTTTCCTCAGGCTGACCTCTTGTCAGCATAATATTGCATTAAAATGGCCAGCTTGTTGAACTGCAAAACAAAAGCCCAGAGTATAATAACAATAAAATGCCTTCATTCCTTCTGCCTTTTTGTCGCTGTGTGTGGTTGTGGCTCCCAGAGACTTACATCACGATACAGAAGTCAAGATGTGGTTGCTGCTGATTATTACTCTCTTCTCATAGCTCATTAGAATTAGCTAATTTATGTCGTCATTATTTTAATATCATATGGATTATTTTAGAATAAACAGAATAAATATTTGTGTACTTTTTAGCTACAGTGCCACTTTCCATATGTTCTAATAAGGTACCCTTATGGTTGATGAATCTTTACTGCATTAGTTATATTATCTCTCTGGCTTGTACCTCCTGCAGCACCTGGACTAAAATGAATGTATTAATATTTTCACTTTGACAGATGCAAACTTAATTGATTATTATAAAAATAATTTATTGCATTAGTCATTATTAAACCGTATATGTGTATATATATGGCTGCTGCTGTATAAAGAGAGGCACCCCATATTTCATTGTACACAAGTATAATGACAAAAAAGCCCTATAGACGTTACATACAATATAGCTATGCCATCTCAACAGCCACCTACACATCAGGATGATCATGACCCTTGTACATCCAGTACACACTACTCCTAAATGATATGATGGGTTATGTACTCTTCTGTTCTTGAATCTGGATTTGTTTGTGAAGCATTTCCCAAAAGAAAATGTAGGCTAATTGTACATTTATTTTATAATTTGGATCCACCGTGCATTCCTCCGCAGCATCTTCTACCACATCTTTTCAGCCAGATGCGATTGACGGTCTCTGATTCCATCTGCATGTTGTACACATCCTATTGGTCGAAAGACGCCGGTAATGGTGGGCGCTGATTCTGATTGGTGTTTCGGCTGTCACTTAACGCCAACGGAAGCAGCGATTGGCTGAGATCATCGGTCCTAAGCAGGGGATTGGTTGATATGTCTTCGCGTGGCTTTATAGACCAGAAGGTAGTGGTGCTGATGATGTGACGATGGGAGTTATCCAGAAAAGCATCGTCTGCACCGAGTGTGCTTAAAACCCAGCGGCAGCACACACACACACTGAAGTGACTGTAAAGGGACGGAAAACCATCTGGGTAGAAACACGGGGCGGAACCTCCAGCTGCCGCTTTGAAAGGGTGAGTTTTCCTCTGGAAAGCACACTGACATGCCCGGGGCATCCATTTAGTTGTTGTGTGGGGGCTGGGGACAAGCTCACAAGTACGTGGTTAGCAGGACTGTAAATCCCTCTGTGTGAGAGAAGCGAGGTTAGCCGTCTTTACCGGGATACCCGGATAAATTTAAGATGTTTGGCTTTATGACAAGTCGCGCAGCGCTGGACATATCGAACCATGCTGTATGTGTGGTTGTAAGGCAGCCGTGGGTCAACTCATCCCCTTGGTCGACGGCATTGCGGAGAGAGCATGCCTGGCAGAATAGCATGTGTCTAATGCTGTGCACACTGCTCTGTGAGCAACTAACACAGCTGTCACAAGGTGTAATTAGCGTCTTATTGTGCTGTGGTTTCCATGCTTTCTGTCTGACACGAATTTATCATGTGATGATACTTGTCATAAAATAAAAATGATGATGATGAGAATGATCATATATGTAAATACAGTACAGTATAATTAATAGTATCATCTTTAAAACTGACACCTATTGCATGTATTTTTGCACAGATTTGTAGTGACTTGCTCTGCATGCTGGGATTTGAAGTTTGTAGTGTGAGTGAATTTAGGCTATGTTTGCCTGCAAGTTTGCATATGCCTGCAGAAGTGCAGTACATATATGGTATGTTGTACTTGTGCTTTATATCCATAGACACTGGTAAGACAGATACCTTGTTTGAGGTATTACAATGCAGTGTTCGACTTCGCTCTGCTTTTTAGGTGCAGTGATGGGAGCGTTCAGCAGACAGAAGTTTTTCCAAGAGCTTGCTCATGGCTGCCTGCTGCCTACTGCTCAGCAGGGGTTGGAGCAGGTATGGCAGCTGCTGCTTATCTGCCTGCTGTGTCGGCTTCTCTGGATGTTAGGTAAGAGTCTGGTTATTTTGTGTCTATTTAGTGCAATTCACCATTCATATAGCAATCATCACCACTGATCACCCTTTTCATTCTTGCTGTGTCAGGCCTCCCCTCTTTTGTGAAACACCTGGGCACAGTGGCCGGAGGTTTCTACACTCTCTACCTGTTCTTTGAGCTTCATATGATCTGGGTGGTCCTTCTCAGCCTTCTCTGCTACCTCTTCCTCTTCCTGTGCCGCCACTCTAGCATCCGAGGCACCTTTCTCTCCATCACTGTGCTCATCTATCTGCTGCTGGGGTAAGAGTGCTCTCCTCTGGTACCTGATGCCTCAGCAGCACACAGCAAATATGGCTGAAATTAAAGTTTCGAAGCCAGTGTTGTTAAAGATTCATTTGCAGAGAGTACTACATCATAGCTGAGACTATTCTTATCTGATTTTATTAGAGAACTGCACATGATGGACACCACTAACTGGCACAAGATGAGAGGTAGGCCAGGCATTTATACTGTAGGCAGCAGTATTTGGCATATTCCTGATGAATCCTAGCAATAGCATCAGTAAGCAGCACCAGCTGTGGTTTTTATTTTGGAATCTAGTGACTGCTTAAGTGCTGCTGCTGTCATCCAGGTTCACAGATGGTGGTTGCCATGAAAGCCATCTCACTGGCCTTCGATCTGGACAGAGGTGTTGTGACCAGTGTACCCTCACCCATCGAGTTCATGGGCTATATTTACTTTGTGGGCACAGTCATCTTTGGTCCCTGGATCAGCTTTAACAGCTACAAAGAAGCTTTGGAAGGACGTAAGATAGTAAGTATGATGCAGTAGCTCTTAAATCTACAGTATGACAGTATTTTTTTCAAATATTTTTGTTGTGGAGATATGCTCCAGAATTTGTTTTAAGCTGGGCACACACTTGACAACTGGTTAAGACCTTCTAAGTCTGGACAGGCCACATTTAGCAACTGTTTCCACCAACTTAAGTAGATTTTAGTCCTGAACAGTTGGGAAGGGGTACACACCTAAGGGGAATTTCTGGCAAGATCTTGGATGGAGGGACATCGACAATGCAGACTATACAGCTACAGAGGGAACTGAAACGTATCAGTCCTTTTGTGGTATGTGTTTGAATTAAGTTAATAATCTAGAGCCGTTCATTCCCCTGCCGCAGTTCAGCAGTTTTTACTCTATTACTATTTGAGTTAAGATTAGAATCATTACATGGCACATACAACACGACTGAGCCTGACTCGGTCCAACTGGGTCTGATCAGTCATCACATCCAAATACCATTCATAGTCGACGCTGCAGTCGTTAAGTGTGTACCCACCTTTAGTGTTGAGAGGTGGCTGCCAAAGCCTCCTGTGACCCGCTCTACCATGATCTGGGTAGAGCGTGGTGGAGCTTAGCAGGTCATAGTGGAGAAGGGAGAGGGGGGTGCTGGGTGGAGCAGAGTGGATTGATTTGGAGTTTCATGCTAATGCTACCATACGTTACATACTGCAGCTTTAAGTATGGAAGGAGGAGGATTGTTTAAAACATTTATCTTGAGACCAGCTGTTAACTTCATAAACTTTGGTTCTTTTTTTCCTCAGAGCTTTTCATGGCTCTTAAAAGTGTCTGTCAGCTGGGTGAAGAGCCAGCTCTGCCTCGTTATTTCCAACTGTGTGGCTCCATACCTCTTCCCTTATTTCATACCTGTCTATGGAGACAAGCTACTACGAAGGTGATTTTTTTTTTAAAGAGCAATCAGTTGGTTGTTTATTCCCTGTCTTGGAGCACTTATCATTTATGGATAAATTCTATCTAATCTGTTTACAGCAAAAAGAGGAGGAAGATCAGGTAATGACTCTGAACACGTCCAGCACTGTTTACCATTTGTGTGTCACGTTTACCTGCATGTATGTATCCACATTGTTCCCCCTCTCTGTGCAGCCACATGTGTACCGGGACATCTGTCTCACCCCCTCATTTACCGTAGCTGTTTCACCATCTTTAAAAACCGTGCTGAGACGTAGATCATCACATGGCAAGTCAATAAAACATTTGTGTGAATTTAATGTATCACTAACATTAAATGCTACAACTTCTCTCTTTATTCTGTTGCTTCTCAGAGGTACACCTGCAAAGTATGTCCTTTACTGTTGTGTAATATTTAGTTTCTTAAGTTGGATTTTTGCCTGAAATTGGAATGTAATATCCATCTGTTCCTTCCTTATTTTATGTCATTAAATTAGGTGGTTGCTGGCGTATGAGAACACAATGTCTTTCCACTTCAGCAATTATTTTGTTGGTTATCTGAGCGAGACTACTACAAGTCTGGCTGGGGCAGGCTTCACCGAGGAGAAAGAAAACCTGAAATGGTCAGAATTGCATGTGTGATACTAACTTAAAGTGTGGTTCCCTTTATTCACGTTTTTAAACAGGGCCCCTCCTTTTGTTCTGTAGGGATATCACCGTGGCCAAGCCCCTCAATATAGAGTTTCCTCGGTCCATGGTGGAGGTGGTAACGTCATGGAATCTGCCCATGTCTCGCTTTCTGCACACCTGTGAGTTATAACTCCGGTTGCAAGATGGCAGCAGCTGTTTTTGCTTTTCATTCTCATTATAAATGGAATGATAATGGCTCACTTAAACAGACACTGTCATGCAAGCTGAGCCTGTCTTCTCACAGATGTTTTTAAGAGTGCTCTCAAATTCGGGACGTTCTCTGCCATCATGGTGACGTATACAGCCAGCGCCCTTCTGCATGTGAGTGATGTGTGGAAGTCTTACCTAACTAGTTCTCTAGAGTTGAATGTGTGTCTGTCAATGAGTGGACTGTTATGATTCTAACTCTATATGTCTGCCAGGGTTTGAGTTTTCATCTGGGTGCAGTTCTGATATCACTGGGGTTCATAACATATATTGAGCATGGTAAGAGGCTGCCTGTTATATCTTTTTCACATTACAAACCTTTACATCTAGAGAAAGTGCTTAACTTTGCAGTAATGGTTAATTGCAGCCACTACTACACAGTGTTTTTGTTCACTGCAGTGCTTGTACCTTGCCTAATATGATTGAGAATAAATTCTGTCTTGGGTTCATTTGAATGTTTTGGTCTTTTTTTGTGTTTCAGTGTTGCGCAAGAGGCTTGCAACAATTTTTAATGCCTGTATACTGTCAAGGAAATGTCAGCCAAACTGCAGTCACCAGAATAAAAAGGTAACATACACCTTTTTCTTCCTTCTCTTTTTTTGGGAGAAGGAAATTTATTGCCAGCCATTTATCATTAACAATACTTTAAGATTTTGGTGAATATGCTTATTTGTTTTCATGCCAAAAGTTAGATGAGAAGATTGACAACACAAGGTGCTAAATATGAAGCTATAGCCATGAGATGATTAGCTGAGACTGGGCACAAGTTTTTGTTTTATGATGAACTCTCTTGGAAGTTGCAGTGACTTTCTGGTGTCACTGATATACTGATGGATTGTATAACCTTTGGCTAGAGTCAGATTAGCTTTTTATGCTTGCTTGCGGTCTTTATGCTAAGCTAACTCCCTCCTGGCCTCAGCTTAATATTTAGTGCACTCTTATAGGAGTGTTATCAATCTCCTTATCAAACTCTCTGCAAGAAAGCAAATAAGTCTTTATTTCAAATGTAACCTGTACTTGGTATTGCATTTTATTTTAAATTCTGTCTTTGTTTGTGTCAATTTTAGAAACAGCAAGGCAGCTTTAATTATAAGGGCACATTTCAACCAGAGGGATTTCAAAGAAAAGCAGTAGAACAGCATTAAAATAATTAAAAAATAAAAAATCAATTAAGACAAAATAAGATGATTAAAAAGCTGGATAAAATACAGAAAATAAAACACAAGTGGAGAAGGGTAAAGGAAGATCAGAAGCAGTAATAAGTTGTAGGGTGACCTGAGTGCAACTTGTTTGTTTGTTTGAAAGTGGCTAGAGTTGGGGCACATTTAAGGTCATCAGGAAGCTGGTTCCATCTGTGTACAGCAGATGTCTACCAGCTGACTGCTTCCTAAAGATCTCAGAGCCCTGCTGGGCCTGTACTCTTCAAGGAGGTCAGACTTTCTCAGGTTACAATGGCAGGAAAATGGTGCCCAGCAAAAATCCTTTATGTTACCTTGGTTACACACATCAAAAGAAGCAAGGATGGGGATAAATGACTTCAAATACACGGTTTGAATTTTTTTTTTCTCCATGATACCAAATGTGTATTAATAATAAAGCAACAATCAAAGTTATAGAGCCTTTTTATTATGCATTTAACAGTCAGTCACACATCATCTGCTTCATCGTGACTGTATAAGAGACTGATTGAGAGAGGTAGACTTTCAGGACTCTTAAAAGAAAACCCACATAGATTACAGTGGAAAAGTGTCTGAAATTTTGATTAATTACTTCCCTTGCTCTCACATAATGCTTGTCTCTTCCTCTGCAGGAGCTGTGGGTGTATATGATTAACATTGCATTCAGCGCTTTGGCAATAGTCCACCTGACGTACCTGGGTTCTGTGTTCAACTCCAGTGTGGACTACATGGAGGAGGAGGAGGTACTGAAAGATAAGCACATCATGGTCCCAGAGAGGAAATTTACATGTTGCAGTAGAAACAGTCTGAAGGTGCAGGCAGCAGCTCCAGAACAGTTTACAATAATAACTAAACTAGAACTTGAGTAAATGGCATTCAAAAGCTAAATACATTACAACATAAAATGTGCAGCACACCACAGTATGTGACATGACTTTAGTTACAAATCTGCTCCTAAATTTTGAACAAATGAATGATAACTTCTATGTTTTTGTAAAGATGTTTTAATGAAAGGTGTAAATAATACTGTATACTGTCATATTGAGCTTACATGGTACTTACCGCCTCCTACAGGACGATATCACACATCATACCATTCAGAAGTGGTCAGAGCTGAGCTGGACAAGCCACTGGGTCGCATTTGGATGCTGGATATTGTACCGCATCATTCTCTAATAAAAGGGGACAGGGAAAAGGTGAAAGAAGCAATAATGAGAGATATTGGTTGGTTCTCCATTTCTGCACTGTGACTTTCATCAGAACAAAGAGAACAGAATCAGCCTGTATGCAGTGATAAACCAACACACAGTGGTTTTAGACTGTGCCACACCGCAACTGGGTGATCTCGTATTCTGACCTGGGGACTAGTTTTGATATCCGTGAAATGATAGCCCGCTTTTCCTTCCTCTTCCTTATATCGTATCCTTTTTATCTGAGCCACAGTTGTTGAGCCCTCATGTTGTGACAGCAGTTACTGACGTTTCACTGTGAGCCACAGTCAATATCTATCAGCGTGGTGGAGATTGGTTGCTAGTTTCTGTGGATACATGATAGAGCCAATTATCTAGTTTTCACCGTCTGCTGTGACAGATCCAGATGTGGATTCACTTCTCCTCAAGTGTTTTACAATTGTAGTTTTAGGTTTGAAGGATAAGGCTGGCAGTATTCTACAGTTTTCTTACATTCAACAAATCCAATGAAAAGACCAAAACCAACAAAGTAAGTAGACATCTCTTAATTCTTTAGGACTCTTCCAGACTGCCTGTTGTTCTCAGCCCCAAGGCTATTCAGTATAGTTTGATTAAAAAAAAAAAAAAGGCAGATTGATTACCTAATGCACCTAGGCAGTGTACATTTTAATAAATGTTACTCAAAGAGGATTAATCGGTGCATTTGTCAGGAACTACTGTATTTTCAGTGGCAGATCAATATGCATTTGGTGCTCTGGGGCTGCATGTGGCAGCAGAACAGTGAATGAGGGATTGAGTCTAATCAAACTATGGTGCCTATGTTCATTTCAATGGAGGAGCATGCCACCTACGGCAACAGCATGGCTCATGCCTTTGTGGACAACAGTGGAGGTCTTTGACACAGAAGAATAAGATGGATTAAGTTTCGGGTACAAAGGCAGTGCTGTTAGTAGAATCAGTTCACTGTTGTCTTTTGTCCTTTTATGGAATTTGTTGGCAGTAGGAAAAATACAGACTCTCACGAGGCTTGTCCTGTAACAGAGTCTGTCTCCTGAGCATGTATAAGACAACAAGGGGTTTACTTTTGAATGAAAAGAGCGCAGCTTTTCCATTTGTGAATTTAGATAAAGAAAAGTAAATAGTACTGTAAGTCAATTAATTCAGTCAGTTCATTTTTGTGTTGCAACGTCCTACTAGTGTTTGTATTTTGCTTAGTGTTATTTTGATGATTGCCTTTGAACTGAATTTTCACCTTTGCTTAGAGAAGGTGTTATTAGTATATATGAACATTAGAAGCAAGCTCTCGCTCTTCAGTACTGGAAAGAACAGTATTACACGTGTTACTGTAAAAATGTTTAAATATCTCTTACATCTTACAGACTCACGATGAAATTATACAGTATGGCTATTATATTACTGTAAATATTTATCCCTAAGTATAGATTTTTATTACATTGCTGCTTTTAATTATGCATTTCAGTAACTGATGAAAGAACGTGTGTTTCAGATTGTGATCACATTTTGTGCATCTTTCTTAAATCTACAATATTAAAGGAGATGTAGTGTTTAGAATAGAGCCTGAATGTTTGTTCATGCCCGAGCACCAGTGCTCAGTCTCTGCAGATGTAATGCCACTCAATCCACCGAGTATTTTAAATACTATTCTGATCTTTACTTTTTTTTTCTTTGATGTAAATGTGAAGGCACTGACACAACTGTGATATTTTTATAAAATTTTACATGAAACCTCTGTTGTTGTGTTTGTGTAATTCATTGTGGAAAGAATCTGAACAGAGACGTATGTCTGGACATCAGCTGTAAAAAAAAAAAAAGTTAAATACACATGGACTGCTTAAGAAATTGTTGTTTATAGAATCATCATTATTTACATGAAGAATCTGAACTGTCAGACAGTCATGGGGTGAGGGTGAGGGAGGGAAGGATTGCAAAAGAGTGACAGTTTTTCTGCTCAAAGCAATGATCCAGCTTTACCTGGGGCCTTTCTCTGAGCATCCAGTGTGGGGAAGGGGACAGAGAAAAGTTTGGCAAGGGGGAAGGAACAGGAGTTGAACAACAGATGTGATAGACGGAGATCACATTCACTTTCTGTCTCTGAGAGGAGAGAAGATGTAGCCCAGTCTGCAGACTGGAGGGGAAAGTGTGGAGGAGAAGGGAGGTGCACTCAGCTCTGTCTGCCCCAAGGACCCCCGTGTTTACGACGGCAGGACCCCAGCAGTGTCTTCAAAGCCATCTTTACAAATGCCTGGAAGTTACTGTTTCTCTCCCTTCGGCTGTCCTGTGAGGGGATGAAACACCGACAGATGCCTTCACTGGGGACACAGCAATCACATTATATTTTCACACTGTGTGTTTATTGTAATGTCCAAAACACTGAAGGATCATATCACACAAAGCTGGAAATGTTTTTTATTTACTTGGAAATTATATAGTTTGTGCACAGATTAGCTTCACTGGGTTTAAATAACAACTGATGAAGTAAAAAGACATTTCAGTTCAATGCTTACCTCCTTGCTTCTTGTTATCGTCTCCTTTCTGATCACCTTTCTTAGGCTGCTCTTTAGGACTTTGAGGTTGCTGTGAAATAAAACAAAAATATAATTAAGCAACATGCAAATGTACAAGTTGAGAATGGAAAAGTACAATTATGAATTATTATAGTAATGATTTTCCCACCTTGGTAGCTGGCTTCTTGTCTGACTTATTACCTGAAAAGCATGGTAATATTCAGTTAGCTCAGATACATTTTTAAAGTATTTTGTAGAGTTTAATTTTTTGTTTAACAATGCTTACCTTTTGTTCCTGGCATTTTGGCTGTTTTTTTTTGAGAATAGTGTTTTCAATGTGGTCTTCAACTTGATCATTTATGGCCTGTGCTTGTGAATGGCCCGTTCCAGAAAGAGCTCCATGAACAAGCAAAGAGCCCTGTCAGCTGAGCTGAATTGAATGCCCCAGATCTCTGTAGGCCTCTGCTGAGCCAGGCGAAACCTCAGAGCTGACTTTGTTATACTGCCACTGTGAACCTACTGGAACTGTGTGTTCACCTATTGTCCATGAAAAGAAATCATTTTCATCATGTTACAGGCAAGGTGCTAGTGTTGTTTACATTAATATCATAGATCGTGGATCACTCATTTTTGTGTTGATCAGCCACACTGGATAAAGGGTATAATTTTGTTACAAACTCATTAAGTGATAGACAAATCAAGTCTTTGCAAAACACAACCATTGTTATTACTTTGTGCTGGTGTGATTGAAGGATGGGAGGTTAAAGATAAACAATATATTTATGATGTTAAAAATTTGCTGTATTAAAAGTGCTGAAAGTATCATTTATGTCACGTGAAACGATGATGTAGTAGTCTAAATCAAATACTGTCTGTTTTGGTCGTGGTCTTTTCTTGTGCATGTTCTAATGCAATCACACTGTAGTCTGTTTCTCGTAGTTAATTTATCAAATGATAAACGTCACCTGGATTCACGTAGGTCCATCAGCCAATGGGCGGGGCATGTCGTGTCACGTGACCTGACAGAAAAAGCCGTCATGGAGTAAAGCTAGGGAAGGTGAGCCGTTTACAAATGTATATCTTTTTGTTTCTTGTTTTAGGATAGTGAACGCCTTGTACGCCGTATGAAATTGCTAACTTTTAGACTATCTATGTTCGTCGAATAATGCACGAAAACAGATTTTTATGGGTGGACATCGCATATGATATTGTGGCTAACTTGCTAATTGTTAGCTACCGTGTGGTAATTAGCTTTGCTACCTTAGCTGTCAAAGGAAGGCTCTCCTGCTCTTGGTATTACTTGCTACCCGCATGCAAAAATTGCCCAAACCATTCGTTCTGTAGCTCTTTGTGATTATTTCGGTTGACTTCGATGATGATTTTATGGTGACAAACTCGCTTGAAAATATGTAGGTTCATAACAAGGTTTTCCCCGAGGATGCCATTAAATTCTGCATCATGACTTGATTCAACGTTGTGGATGTGAGAGTTATATAAAAGTAGCATTGATGCTAGCTGGCCTTTCTTCTCATACAGTGGCTAAGTTTAGTTTATTTGTTAGAGTAGCTAACAATATGAACTAAATGTTGTGTATTTTTTGACAGGGATCTGTCCTGGCAGTGGCTTCCTCTACCCAGAGTGTTTGTGGTATGGCAGCAGTTTGGCAGCAGGTTTTGGCAGTGGACGCAAGGTGAGACTGGCAGGTTGGCAGGCTGCAGGTTTTAATATTTTAAACAGATGATACTGTTCAGACCTGTAATTGCTAATTGATCTCTTGTGAGTTATTGTGTGTTGTCACTTCTTTCTTTACCTAGGTACAATGCATACCGCACGCCTACGTTCCCACAGTTCCGAACTCAGTACATCCGCCGACGCAGCCAGCTGCTCAGAGAGAACGCCAAGTGTGGCTTTGAGCCAGGGCTGCGCAGGCAGTACCTGAGGCTGCGTAGTCAGCTGCTGGCCCTGCGCTACGGGCCCCTGTCTGAGCAGAGCAGCTTCAGGGCCAGCAGTGTGCGCAGCTCCCGCACCACACTGGACCGTATGGAGGTCAGACCCAAAGAAACAGAAAGGACAGGGAAAGTAGAAGAGAAATATTAAAGAGGAGAGGTACCTGTACTAATTTGGAAGAGGAGATAGAATACAACATATGGGATACCTCTGAATGGCGAGACTAGCAGCATAGTACTTTGGTTGCCCATGCATATTAAACTGAGCAGCTTGGTTGAAATGGTTGGCATTGCCCATTTTTATGGGCAGTATCATTAAAATGGCATGGTGATTTCAATAGGTTTTCAGTATTTAGTGATGGTTATTTAGGGTCACAACTTATTTACTTGCACTCACACCTACAAGGTTCTGTCTCCTCCTATGGCTCCCCTCCATTTCTTTTCCTCTCTTCCTGGGCAGGACTTTGAGGAGGACCCCCGTGCCCAAGGGGTTCGTGGTCACCGCCGGTCTGTCAGCAGAGGCTCCTACCAGCTACAGGCACAGATGAACAGAGCAGTCTATGATGAGAGGTACCAGGAAGAGCGCCACACTGAGATCCTCAGCTTGTATCCAAACATCTTGTCTCATCGCCTTGAGCAGCTGAATTCTGATTTATTTCACCTTTGAGTTTTTGGATTTTAGATTTATTAGCTATTCTGGTTTTGTTGCTCTGTGTAGTGATCAGAACTCATATGTTGAGTTGTCAGATGTAGGCAAGGGCTGTGAGGTGTGTTGCATTGATTGTATATGCTTACATGATAGTTTGTGTCTGGCTGCAGGCCTCCGGGCAGTTTGGTGCCCACCTCGGTGGCGGAGGCCAGTCGTGCCATGGCAGGGGACACAACCTTGAGTGAAAATTATGCTTTTGCTGGCATGCACCACATATTTGACCAGCATGTGGACTCTGCTGGTAACAAAATTAAATTTATAATAATATGTTTGTAAATGTGTCCAAATTGTATTTAATCTTATCTTCTGCCTTTGGTTATTTTAGTTCCACGGCTGCAGTTTGCCAATGATGATAAGCACCTCCTTGCCTGCTGCTCACTGGATGGTACCCTGTCCATCATGGCATTGTCTCCGCGTCCTCCCAGTGTGAAGGTGACCCTGAAAGGTCACGTGGGTCCTGTCACAGACTTTGCTTGGTCTCTCAGCAATGACATCATTGTGTCGACATCACTGGATGGGACTCTGCGTATCTGGAACACAGAGGATGGTCGTTGCATCCGAGAGGTCAGAGACCCAGAATCCAGCGAGTTGCTCTGCTGCACTTTCCAGCCCATGAATAACAATCTTACTGTGGTGAGTCACATTTGAGACGCGTTATCACAACCCACAATGAAACCAGAAAATGAAATCAACAGCAGAAGATATTAAATACATATCTGAAATATTTTATAGTTTTTTTTTTCCCCACAAGATAACTGATCCAAGTACCGGAGGTCCTGATTCACAAATATTAAGTTTTAAACACTGATATAACATCAATGACAGTAATGGCACCTTTAAATACTGGATAACATGATACAGAGGCAGAAATGTCCTTCCACTCAGTAAATTACATCAAAACTAAACAGGGGCCCAAATTATTACATTTTGTATTTATTAATGGGAAAAGAAACAAGAAACTGCATATTGTTTAAAACAGTTTACTGATTTATATTTGTTGTTCTTGTACATATCAGTAAATGGCAGACGGTCCCTTACGTTATCACACTGATGCACCAAAGGGTGCAGACACACCTGCGGTCGTGGCTGTGTTCATTTAAAATGTTAGTTCTTGTAAAATACTTAAGGCTCATGTTTGAACTGTTTTTTTGTCCATTTGGTAAAGATTTGGACATCCCACTACTTTATGGATTTTGCTAATGAACTTTGAGATGTTATAGCTGTGGATTTGAAGCAGATTATGTTTTGGAGAGCGGTTATACTTTGTCATCAGTCCTTGTCACACTGACACTAAATCATGAGTCTGTCTTGGCTTGTTTTTTAGTTTATTGGTGTTTTAAAATCCTTCTTAATGTTGACTGTCAGCCTGCAGGTTGCTGTGGCACCGTTGTTTCTTGGGCACTGCCTTGTTTCTATAGTTAAATACTTTGGGGAAACGTTTTTCCCAGCTGCTCCCTTTGATTGTGGCAAGGTTTGGTTTCTCAGATGGGAGCAGTTTAAAGACTGTGTCTGTGTCACACTGAGGGGAAAAACGAGAGAGAGGGAGAGAGAGACATAGTCATTGAGTTGTGTCTGGCGTCTTTTTCAGTCCAACGCTAGCTGTGTGTTTTTCTGATTATAGATATTGGTCCTTAGTAGTTGGCCAGCTTGTGCCCAGAAAATAAATCATTCCCGTTGTTAAATCATAGTCTCCTGTTCCCTGTGAGTGCTGGCCCACTGCATTGGCTGCAGGTTCCCTGTACTGTAGTCTGTTATTTACAGTTAGCATAAACTGAAATGTATCATATAAAATGATGAAAGACAAAAGAGAGAATTCTGTTTGCCTGAATATGAGGAGGTGCTTTTTGGATTATGAGACACACCTTTCTCTGATATTGCTAATGCAAGTCTAAAATGCATCAACTTCAGCAGCCTTTCTCTGATATTGCTAATGCAAGTCCAAAATGCAACGACTTCAGCAATGTCAGACTTGTGTTTAAGTGCAACGGCAGAGAGATAGCTTAAAATTAGAGTTGTTATAGATGTACATTTCTGGTTGCCTTGTCTTGTGTGTGTGAATTTCCTCTGACAAGTTTACATCCCTGCTTTGCTTTACTGACCTCAGCTCCTCCACGACCACTGCCCATCCTTTCTTTCAGCTGTTGTGCTGCCACATCTTTACTGTTTTCTTCATACTTCAGACCATATTCTAATTTTATGACATGGCATTCAGAAAATGTAGGACTTAAGAAAATAATTTAACCCTTTGCTCTGGTCTGGTCCTAGTATATACCCTGAACCTTAGAATGATGATGGGTTTTGCTGTTCTTTTTTTCTCTTCCAAGTCCATAACATGCTGTCAGATGAATTAGTGTCACACATTTTATTCAACCCACGTTTCACATTTGTGAGTGAAGTGTATTGACAAAGTTCACATGCAGAGTAAAATCCTGCCATTAGTATCCTTTCACCTCATTTACAATAACGTCATGCATACTTTCACTGTGGAGGCATTGATTTAAAATTTTATAATTAAATGTCAGCTATTGTAACTAAAACAAAAGTGGTAAATGTCCTGGATGATTTAGATTTAAGTGCATGTTTTCAGTGGCAAATATTTTAAATGATGAGCAGGATAGAAATGAAATCAGACAGCAGTACCCATTTATTCCTCATTAAATGGAACCTGAGGGAGGCTGCTATTTGTTTTAACTGACAGTTGGTCACAACACTGGTTCCTTTGTACAATTTTACCTGGCCTGCCGACCACAGCAGTCCTTCAGTGGTCTCATCTACAGCGAGACAGTCTGTCAGATTACACGGTGTCTGTGGTATTATACCGGTCTATGAACCTTAACACGTGATAGTCTATTTCCAACACACTGCCCATTAATACTTCACATGCAGGGCTTAGAGAACTAAAGCTCAAAGAAATATTTAACATGTTACAAAGATAAACCCTGCACTGGTTTTCATGTCTGATTTCTAAAGCAAAAACACTACAACCAGTGCTTTTCACAGTCGGCTTCCCTGTGGAATTAATAAAGGTCATCACTTGCCGTTCTGTGTTCCAGGTGGGAAACAGCAAGCACCACCTGCAGGTGGTGAACATCTCCACTGGAAAGAAGGTGAAGGGGGGCTCCAGTAAGCTGACAGGCCGCGTGCTGTCTCTGTCCTTTGATGCTCCGGGGAGGATCCTTTGGGCTGGTGATGACAGGGGGAGCATCTTCTCCTTCCTGTTTGACATGGCTACAGGTATTCTCATGTTTTTTCCCATTTGGCACAGGAAAAAGTGTCCACTGATCACATTACAAATGATGTCATCAGTTTTAGCATGTGTCATGGAATGAATAGCAGCTTTGACTGAGAGAGAACACGGTGGCTCTGTCTCTCCTCTTTCCACCTCCATCCATCCCACAGGGAAGCTGACCAAAGCCAAGCGTCTGGTTGTGAGTGAAGGCAGCTCTATCTGCAGCATATCTGCCAGGTCGTGGATTAGCAGAGAGGCCAGAGACCCCTCCCTTCTGGTCAACGCCTGTGTCAATAAGCTGCTGCTGTACAGGTCCATCTGGAAGGGCTGTTTACTAAAAGGCAGTTTTGTCTCTGCTGTGCTGAGATGGAATTTAAATCTCTAACATCTTCACTGATGTAACGTATGTGAAGATGTATTTACCTAGTTCTGTTGAATTTGATTCGTTATGCCTCCTTTTCTTTGGCAGGGTGGTGGACAACGAGGGCACACTACAGCTGAAGAGAAGCTTCCCTATCCAGCATGGATCCCAGCTTGTTCACAGCATCTTCTGCCCCCTCATGTCTTTCAGACAGGGGGCCTGTGTGGGTAAGACCTCCCTGCTGTGATATCTGAAGAGAAAATTAGACCACAGTTCATCGCTTTCTGCAGACCTTCCAGTTCGGGGGGAAAAAAAAGATGCTTGGATTTGGATGAAAAGAGCAAAACAAAAATAATTGGCAACCTTTCACCATCCATGTCACCTACTTTGTTTTTAGCTTGGTTTCATGTAAGTGTTCATCTACCAAGGGAATTTTTAGAAATCAGAAATATGTAATCAGTGGAAGTCATTACAGGCAATCAGTTGACATGGCTTTACCTCTGAGCTTTATTCATTTTTTCAAAGAATCAACTTTTCATTATAGTCAAGTCTTTGCTTTGTTTAAATTGTCAGGTGTGTGCTTCCAATTAACAGTTTCTCACTCATAATAATACCCTGAAGAATCTTTGCTTAACGATGTGTTGAAATTAAATTGTTAGGAAAGGCACTGATATTTTGCCGTGTGGTTACGTACATTATTTCAAAGAACAACAAGCAGCAAAGACGCCTGGGAAGCATTTGTGTCAAAACTGGCAGCATCTCCAAATTCTTTTGTTCTGCTAGAAATTTAAAGGGCGTAATGTGCATTTACTGTAGATGATTTTATGGTTGTCATAAGAATAATTATCTCTTGAGATTGTTTGTTTATTCAGAATTGTTTTAATGAGGCCGCCATCATTTATTTACAAAGTCGTCCTTGTGATTTCTCTTAATGTCTTCTGATTTTGTCTCCGACCCAGTGACTGGCAGTGAGGACGCTTGTGTCTATTTCTTTGATGTTGAACGCAACACCAAGGCTATAGTGAACAAGCTGCAGGGTCATGGGGGACCAGTGCTGGATGTCAGCTTCAACTGTGATGAAAGTTTACTGGCATCTGCTGATTCCACTGGCATGGTCATCATCTGGAGGCGGGAGCAGAAGTGAGTGGTAAAATGCTCCCATACGTTGTACAGCAATCTCTCCATCCAATAACAAGTCTGTAGATTTTCACTGGAATGTAACAGGCTGCATTCAGCGTAAAGATACTCAAGTGCAATCGGATAGAACTCCATGCGGTGTAGGTGGTGGGGATGTCTTAGAAATTCAAGGGTGTGTGTTTATGTGTCAGTACTCCTACGGTCGCGGCTGAGAAATTTCTTCTGAACAAAGAGAAAGCACTACTCCCATGCATGCGTCATGGCTCACCTCCGACTCATTTGGAAATGACAGAATTGATGTGAAGATGCAACGTAATCTTCCCGAGACACCAACGCTGACAGTCCCGCTGGCATAGATCTGGTTCACTATTTGTGTAACTGTTGTTCAAGCAGTGTAATCAAGTGTAGTAAAACTGCCTTATTTGTTTTCAGTTCCACAGTTGCCCGTTTGCCTTTGAGACCATGTGCATGACACTGAGCTCAGAATCAGTGATCAAACTGATCATAAAAGATACACAAGTGTGTTTTAAGTACGTTTGTACTTACCTGTGTGTGTGTGTGTGTGTTCATTCTGGTTGCAGATTCATAATATTTATTTAGCACACATACGGAATAAACTGCTGTAACTGACAAAGTTGTCTGTTTCCTTTTTCAAAAAATACATTGGAAACAATGGAATTTAAAATGGAAATACAAATGTCAGAAGAGCTCAGTGTGGTAGGGTGGTCAAGCCTACAGTGTAGGAGAGTGTTAGTCATTGTGTGGGTCTTCAAGATCTGCACAGCCCCCCCACATCAGTGAGTAAAAGGTGTCTAAAAATGTACTGCAGCATTAGGTGCGTCTGTAATATTGTGTTACAACCAAAATCCCAACATTACTTTAACATCATGAAACAGCTTAAATATCATCATTGATGTGGTATTAAAGATATAAAGGGTCAGTAATGTTTTACCTTTTTAATATGTTCCAGCTGACAAAACTAACCTCCTCTGCCTGTTTGCCTGTCACTCATTAGCCACCCTAGTGCCATGCCTCAGTGGGTGGTGCTGTCAGTCAACACTGGTGCTTTGGTCCGCAATGAAATGTCTAAGCAAGTGTTTGACAGGCTGCCATAAAGTCTTGTACAGATGTTCGTGGTCCCCAGACAATGAGCCCTACAGTTCAGGCAGTCCCCTTTCTTTGCAACCGGTGCTACAGTCAGGTTAATGATTGAAATAACATAATGAATGCATTGCTGTGAAATTTGCTTCAGATGGTCAAGAACCCTAGATTAGAAAAACTGTAATTCTAAATCCAACCTTTTTAGCATATGAACTCTCAAAGTAGCCTTCTTTTGGATTTGAGAGTTGTTGGCAGTGATGCTGTAATTCACTAGAAAAACCAGAAAAATGGTATTGTTTTGTTTTGCAGAAATGTCAGGTGGCCTCTGGAAATCCTCTTGGGACTCTTTAAGGGGTCCTGACCCCCAACTTGGGAGCCACTGAGACAGATTGGAGTCACACCTTCATGCACTTACATATGTAGAAACCTCTATTTTCTGGGTCTAGACAAGCTATAAAGATGATAGATTAGCATTGCACTGTCAGGCTAATGTAGTGTATCATGGGACTGCAAGACATTAGTCTCTCATTGCCATCTCCACACTGTCTGCAGCATCTCAGTGTAGGATAAAGAAAGGAATACATAATCAACTACAGCATTGTGGCATCAGGCTGAAACGAAGTGACAGGTAGCAGGAACACAAGCTATGATTTATCAACAAATGCAGTGCGTTCAGACTTTACTGTTTTCCTCTCAAGGATGATGAGGATATTTGTGATGTATAAATGTGGCTGTGTAGGAGTGAAAGCACAAAGAATGCTGTCTGGGAAGGTCAGGACATGTTTGTTTGAAACGGGCAGATTTAAAAAAGGAAAAAAAAAATTACAAGACAGCAACACAAAACATCTCCTATTTGAACCAGACAGGACAATGCAACGAGGCCTCTGCACAGCTCTGCATCTTCCGAATGTACAGCAGAGGCTAAGTGTTCACAGATGAGGAAGACAGCTTTTGTTGTTATGTATCTTGGAGAGAAGTGGGAAGAAAACTAAAAATAAGCACTACAGATGAATCTTCAACATCAGTTCAGAGGAGACAGAGAGGCCCAGTCAGATAGAACCTGTTCAACCTCGTCTATTTAGAGGATCCTCACACAGTTGATGCTGCTCACTATGGAAACGCACTTAGGGTATAAATAAAAACAATAGAAATTATCTCTCTTTCAGATTCAAAATATTAGCTAATTGCTTATTGAGAGAATACACAATCATATGATGGCTGGATTTCAATAAGGCCCTAATTAAGAGCGAGAAATGTTTTTTACTCGCCACCCTTTCTATTTTAGTGTATAAATGTCAGAAGCATTATTACGGCTCTGTTGCTGTACATGTGGAATCGGTATGATTTGTTTTACCACAGGAGAGAAAAAGATCAGTACACATTTTTATCTATGCGCTCTATATTCCTTTTCACGCTGAGCAGTTAGGCCATAGCAGGCTATATAATGCTCTGTTATCAGCAGTGTTATTTGAGATTTGGTTTTAAATTTCATTGTTTCAATCCAAACACATGCAGAATGAACTGTTGTTTATCCAGATAGTTTACTGTAAGCCTGCTGTATGTGAACTCTAAAGAAACAAAATGTGCTTTTCTGGTCTTCCGAGGGACTGGATCCCACCTTAAACCCTCAGTTTGCACAGAAGATGCCACGGTTGGAAAGTCTGGTACAGTGGAGCGGTTATTTGGATTTATGTGACTTTTATAGTCCCCACTTCTGAATTTTGGGGTGTATTACATTTTTTCCCCTAGAATATGTATTACATAGTGATAAAAACAAAAATCACATAGTCAGGGCTCTGCTTTAAGCATCATATCAAACAAGTGTTTTAAATGTACAGATAAATGTTAAATTACTTTTGGTGGCTAATCATGTATGACATATTTTAGCCATGTTCGTGTCTTTATGACTATTTGTGCTATTGTTACACTAGATTTTAGCATTTAACATCATGTAATTTTCATTTATAACTGTTAGTAAAAGTTACATAGTCTTGCTTTAAGTTTTAAGGCTTTAGAAACTTGTTGAATCCACATGTAGCTGCTCAGTTCAAGCCCTTAACAGGTTTCTATCATCTTCACTTGTTTGTGTTTTTGTGCACAGATTTGAACAAACAAATCACAAATCTTTTTGACACTACAGTGGCTGTTGGTTAGTGGAGAGGAAAGAGTCAAGATAGCCTTTTCATTTCATGCAGTGAAGTGTACAAAGCTAGACTGATGCATCACAATTTTTTTTTCCAGGAACAGAAATGCACCCTGAGTTAGTTTTACAGAGGTCCAGCCATGTCAATGTTCAGGCAGGTCAAAAATCAGAATGCATCAAAAGTAGAGTCTTTATTGATGAGTGGGCAAAAGAACCACCTCAGTTAAACTGTACAGTTACAGGATATCATCTCGCGAAGCAATGCCAGACAATAAAGTTTTAGTCCTCAGCTTACTTTTCACTTTGTCTTTCCATATCGACATCTGTACAAGTTGTAATCCGGTCTTGAATCTATGAAATGCATGCTAATACAGTATGCTGTGCAAGTTGTCCACATTTAGAGAATTGACTGCACAAATATATCTATGCCTAACATACTGTAGGTCAGACATTTGCATTACATGAATCTTAATTTGGAGAGACATCGTAATGTAGTCTAAGCTGGTTTCCATACATCAAACGTTTCTGGGGTCTTATCCAGCCTGAAGAGGTTTTGATTTTGAATGTAACGTGAACCAGACACTCAGATGTTGACATTTATGTTGAAGGGAAATATAAGAGGGCCTGCTAACGTTCAAGTTTCCTTCAAGTTAAGTGCACCTTCAGTTCTTCTTTTTTTTTTTTTTGGATTTTCATAAGAGCATACCAGTACTTCAAAAAACATTCCCAAGATCATCATTGGCAAATAAGAGCTCATTTGTTAAAGAGTTTTTTAACATTGTAATTTACATTTTTAGTCATTACATGGCCTGTTTGCAATGTACAAGTGTTGTTTTCTAATAATCCTCTCTCCTTTTTTAAAAAATCTGTATTTCACATTAGCTTGTACATTAGCATTAAAAAGCAGACTGCATTTCCGGTTATGGAAATTTATCCTTTAAATGGATTTCCATAAGTTGACTGTTCAGTTTTGTGTGATTTTGAGACCACAAGATGAGGCTGTTTTCATATTGACTCAACTGGAACCTATTTTATCATTGTTATTTTTCTCCGTCCTACCCCTTCCCTCATCTCTTCTCTTCCTATCACACATACACACATACACACAAATTCTATATAAAAAGACACAAGCAGGAACATACATTCCTGGACAGTCTATACAATATGAAATCAAGTCATATTTCAAAATAGTGTCATCTGCTTAACATGTATTGTTTACAAACAAAGGAAAACAGGCAGTTTTTTTATGATACAAAGAAACCTGACACGCCCTAAATCAAGTCCAAAAAATCAAGCATGTTAGGGGTTTCTTGGGTTCACAACAGCTAATTAAATGTATCCGAGGTTATCGGGTCCACTCAGTATTCTACAGTCTCCTTTGAATTACATGAAAAGGCGTCCAGGTCGGTCTGTCACTCCATTCAGAAGCTCCTCGATGTGTTCGGAGTTAGTAACCCTCTCATCGATGCTTTCTATCCACAATCCATGGCACATTTCGTCAAGGATTTCAACCGTCTGTGTGTCTGTTTTGTGCCTCATGTGACACAGAAACTATTCCTCAGCTGAAAGCTCTGGGGCATGTCCCTCTGTAATAAGGCAACATTATTTTAAAATGGCATCTGTCACACATAGCGTGGAGATTGTTGTGATCTTTCCTAATATTAATCATACTGTACATCACCAGAAATACAAACCATGAAAGTGTTACCAGGGCTTTTCTGTTGCCTTGTTCAAGCCTCTGCACCTGACACACTTGACACTCAAATATCAGCATTCTTCATCATGTGGCACTATGCCTGCATTTGATGGCAAAAGTTGGATTTTGTCGTGCAAAACAACAAAAGAGACACTGACACTTAACCGAGGTGCATTACATCGCTTCTATTCTCCACATTTCGCTTTAAAACCTAACACACTCTCTTATCACATGATGCAGTAGGCCTCATCCTGGGGCAGGTGTTGTTTAGTCCTCCAGTAGGTGGGCAGATGAGCTCTCAGCACTTTCCTCAGGTCCTCATTGAGAAGGAGGCAGAAGATGGGGTTGACTCCAGCTTGGGCAAAGCTCATCCACACTGTAATGGAGAGGTACCTGTGAGGGATGGCGCAGGACTTGACAAACACCCTCCAGAAGCACGCCACGATGTAGGGAGCCCAGAGGACCAGGAAGAGTAGGGTGATGGTGTAGAACATCCTGCCCAGCCTCCTCTCTGACCTCACCTCTTCCATCCCGAGCAGCCGCCGGTGTTGATTGTGTAAATTTTGCCTGATGCCCAACAGAGTGGGTGGCATGGGACCACGACCAAATCCCGCAATCCAGTTAGCTGCAGCTTGACCGGTGGCCCCGGGACCGTGGAAGGTCCAGTTCTGGCTGATAGCTGGCACTAACTGGACAGGTTTCATCTTACGGTGCCTGTACTCAAACAGCAGCAGCTTGGCATAGAAACCGTGGGTGGCCAGGACCACCACAGCCAGCATGAGCATGAAGCCCAGGGTGTCGTTGGTCTTCAGGTAGCGGTGTTCAAAAATGCACTGATCCTCATCACGGATGAACTTGTATGTCCCCACATCAAAGACAGGTGGGAACGCCATGGCTACGGCCAGAGTCCACACCATGCAAATGATGGCGGCGCAAGTCCATATGGTCATGCGCTTGGCATAGAATCGGTGGTGGGCGATGGCAAGGTAGCGGGTGACAGCAACACAAAACAGCATGAAGGCAGCGTGAAAACAAAACAGCACAGCCATAAAAGCCACAACTTTACAACTCAAGGCACTGTAAGTCCAGGCCGAGCTGTTGTGGACAGAAACCAGCACAAAGGGGAAGCAGGCAGCGGAGCGGACTGCATCAGCCAGGCACAGGTCCAGGAGAAAGAAATATGGAGCCTTGTGAAGTGTCCTGTCTCGTAGAACCAGCAGGGAGACCAAGAGGTTGCCTACAAGGCTGACACAGATGATCAAACCCAAGAAGACCAGCTTAAAGTAGGCAGACACATCTGTGGCAGAGACTCCTCCACTGTTGCTGCTGCCCTCACTGCTGCTGCCGCCCCTGGGCCGCCCCCTCCGT